TTCAAGCTATTTAGCTCTCATCAGCTAGCCATACCCTTACTGGCATTTGAACCTGGGATTTGGTTCAAATCCCAGTAAGGGTATGGCTAGCTGATGAGAGCTAAATAGCTTGAAATAGATCTATACTAGTCTCCCTTTATTTATTTATCAGCACAAATTAAAAAAAAACATATAGGTTTGCAGGGTCTTCTTAAGCTAAAGCGAACACAGGGTTGTCATGAAGGGTCCTTTGGTGCTGTCTGAGTTTGGCGGTTTTCTGGCAGATGGCACTCATGATATTATCTATTTTGGGTAATGAAATGTCTTCAAGAAAACAACCAAGCTCAGAGAGAACCAAGGATCCCTCAATAGTAGCAGTTTTATATAAAGATCTCATCCATCTGAAGTTTGCTGGGCACACTTATATCTAAGCTTTGGGGATAAAGTGGGAAAAATATGACTTATTTTCCTTTGTATAATTTTTGGAATGGTAGTACATTATGAAATATTCCTGTGAGGTAAAGTAAGCAGCTTTTTTCCTGAGTTCTTGGCTCTCTAGAGTTCTGTGAAGGAGAGTTATGCCATCTTTAGCCCTCGAATTTTTGAGTGGCATAAAAGAGAATATTAATGTCATTTTCTATGTTACTATTATACTTTTAATACTGGGAATGAAAAGAGTAAATAATACTTTTGGTACTTAGCACCTTGATTAAATAGGATACCATATATTTATTTATGTAAATTTGGGTACTGCCTGATTCCAATTGACTGTGGGCAGTACAAAAATAATATATGACAAACCACACCAAACAAAAAATAAGATGGGATCCAGGCACAAAATACAGGCATAAAAGAAAAATAACAATTCATTGCACAAGCATACAATTGAGATGTTCCCTGAAGGCAGTCCCATAGAAACCATAACATCAAAGTCCCTTTGTCCATATTTCATCCTATGAGGACTAATTATAAGACTCTCTCTATAAATAAATAAATAAATAAATAAATAAATAAATAAATAAATAAATAAATAAATAAATAAATAAATAAATAAATAAATAAGTGTGTGTGTTTGTGTGTGTGTGTGTGTGTGTATAATGAAATCCCAATAAGAGCTTCTGTTTTGTTTTTTGAGGAGGGTGGGGAGATTGAACAGTTACATATTTGTAAACACTGCTTCTCATATTGAAAAACATTTAATCATATATTCATAGCCAATTTGGCAAAGTGACAGGTGCATTTGAAAGCCACAATCTTTGTGAATTTGGGCTCATTCAAGTAGTGTATGGTTCAGAAAAAGTTTGGATTTGCTTGTATGGTTGTTAATGCACAGTTGTGTTTATTAGCTTAAGTAACTAAATAGTATTCTACTTAGGCTTCATGAGAATGGGACCCTTCCTCTATTCTATTTGTTAGTAGAGAGGTTGGTTCACTTTTAATTTTCAACACTTTCAAATATGCCATCACTCTTAAGACAAATATCTTTGGGTCCTCTATCTCAAATGTATTTCCAATGAGGAAAGAATTAAATAACAGCTTCTGGGGTCACTAAATGGAAAATGTATAAATAACAATTTCAAATGATGTCATCAAATTTAAAGAATGTCCCCTATCTAAGTATTTATAAGGGGAAAAATACTTAATGCAAATGCTGCTTTTTACAAACAAATCATTAAAAAGAATCGAAACCAATGAAATGTAGACTGATATATGAGAATAAATGCCACTGAATTTAAATTTAATTCTGAGCAAACGAGTGAGAAATAAAATTGAAGTCATTAGTAAATTAGGCAACAGTTAACATGATTAAATATGTTAATTTGCTTTAAAATTAGAATTAATTTTTGACAAAAACTTTATCTATGGACATAAATACTCTTACTGCTTTTGTCTTTAAATAGATAAACAATAATATTAGGTTTTCTATTGTCTGCCTATTAACAACTGTTAAAAACAAGTCAAAACAATTCTATTCTATAATAGCTCATTCAACCTATGAACAAGTGCAACAAGTCTCTTTAAGTTTAGGTGTGGTGTCTGTCAAATCATTAGCTAGCTGTCGGTTCCCTATTCTATAAAATACAGCTGGTTGTTAGTCCCAGATAACCCAACATGTTTTTTTTCTTTTCCTTTTTTTGAAAGATCAAAATTGCTGAAAGAATAAACCAAATTCTATTGAGACTTACCAGTTACCCTGCTTGTTCTGTCTTTCCCAGGAACAGCCTCTGTTGCTTGTGAATAGAGAGTTGTGAGTTCAGGGATCTGGGAGTAAATGTAATTTACTGCATCTAGTTATCAAAGAATGGGAAATACAGTTAAATAAGACCCCAGAGGCTTCATTGCTTAGGCAGCAGTGTCCCTACTTATTATCCCAAACAATAGACATCAGACGCTTTGTGCCAGATAACTGAATTAAAGCAGCAGAATGCAGAATCAGTGTGCTTTGATTGCCATTCAATAGTCTAGCTGAGGCGGGAGAGAGAAAAACCTGATGACTAAGACTTTTTAAGTGATATGGGTGTGAAATCATGTCAGGAGGTTCCACATGTCAGCAGGTCAATGACCTCTGAAAATGAAATATATCAAACAGTAATTTGCCTTGTAAAAACAGTAAGGTGCTTTGTACAGTATCTTTGCTCAAATAAATGCTTTAGTTGGTACAATGGATGTGTGTGTGTCTTCTGGGGGTTTTTCTTTCCAGGGCATAAAAGCTAATGTTTATTTATTATATTCAATGTGTGGATTAATAAAGCGTGAACTATCATATAGGTTAAATGTTTATTGAGTAACATTATAAATCAATATAGTAAATAATATAATTTGAACATTCTTGAACAGAGACTGTTGGTACATTTGCAAGTTAAGATAACCATAGTTGAATGTTATGTTTAGAAGCAAACAGATGTTTGTACCTAGACAGTTTTGGTACATCTTTTTATGTTTGAATCAGAATAAGAAGTCTGTGCAGGTTGAACCTAGCTTGTTTGTCAGAATTTTCTTGCTTCTGCTGTATGGGTAATCAGTTTCAAAGATAGAATGGCACTATAGAAAAGGTGAAACTTGTCATTTGCCTAATTTTATATATTGCTAAGGCAGAGCAGGGTTTTCAAGGCTGCTCTTAATGGTTAGGTAGCATCATATGGCAGTAGGAAGATTAAAGGTGTTTACATTTGAGTTTAAGCATTTTGAATTGGGAGTAGAGATGGGGCAGTAGCCAGCAAAGATAATCTAAATTAGCCCCATCAGCTTAGCCCAACTCATATTACTGGGCCATGAGGGGGAGGTTAATAAATCATATAACCTCGATCCGTGATGGCGAACATATGGTACGTGTGCCACAGATGGCACGCGGAGCCATATCTGAGGGCACACGAGGTGTTGCCCTATTTCAGCTCCAGTGCACATGTGCGTGCTGGCCAGCTGATTTTCAGCCTTCCTGGGGGCGGGGGAGGCTGTTTTTGTCCTCCCTAAGGGTTCAGGCAAGCCTTCTGAAGCCTGGGAAGGGCGAAAAATGGCCCAACTGGAAGTTTGTTTTCAAACTTCTGGTTTGACTGTTGGGGCGTTTTTTGCCTCCACAGGCTCAGGAGGCTTTCCTGAAGCCTGGGTAGGGTGAAAAACAGACCCAATAGCCCAACCGGAAGCTCAGAAATGATCTGTTTCTGGTTTCCGGAGGGCCTCTGGGGGACAGGGGGAGGACATTTTTGCCCTCCCCAGGCTTCAGGAAAGCCTCTGGAGCCTAGGGAGGGTGAAAACTCCCCCACTGTGGGGCGGAGGTCACGCATGCATCCGCAGGTGGGTGGGGCGCATTGAATTGTGGGTGTGGGCACACACGCCCGATAACACACACATGCATAATTTTGGCACGCCTTTACAAAAAGGTTCATCATCACTGAACTAGGTAAAGGTAAATATTCCCCTCACACATATGTGCTAGTCATTCCTGACTGTAGGGGGCAGTGCTCATCTCTGTTTTAAAACTGAAGAGCCAGCGCTGTCCAAAGATGTCTCTGTGGTCATGTGGCCAGCATGACTAAACGCCAAAGGCACATGGAACACTGTTACCTTCCCACCAAAGGTGGTTCCTATTTTTCTACTTGCATTTTTTCGTGCTTTCAAACTGCTAGGTTGGCAAAAGGAACTTTCTTTATCAATTCTCGGCTCCGACTGGCTGTGAGCCCAAAAATAACATAAATACAGTCTCTAACGAGATAATAGAATACTAAACAAAAACTCTTATAACGCAATGCACTTCTCCAAGTGTATCCTTGAATCAGGGTTACATAAAACCAAGCACTTTTCCAAGTGTAAACCACGACTGCTGATTAATCAATGTTGTACGAACCAAGGAACGCATGAAGGAACGTTGACTCCTGCTACTAGGGCATGTCAGCACCCGACCTTTTATCTCCAAAACCCCACTAATGAGTCCCAGCTGCATCATTAATCTTGCATTCTGAAAAGACTCATAGAAGACTGCTGCTGAGTCACAACAGGTATCCTACCTGGGA